CTGCCGGAGATCCGTCGTAGCCTTCACCGTGCAGCACCGCAACAGCTGTGGGGAAGTCCGACCTTGACTCCATCGCAAATTAACAGTAACCGACGGCTGTCGGATAATCCGTCGCCCAGATCTACACCACTTCCGACCAGATCTACACCACGTCGGCCCGTTTCTCCCTAACTACAAGGTAACATCTCTTCCACGTAAAGAAATTTTCTCACTCTCACTCTCCTTTCTCTGATTTTGTTCCAAAACTTTTCCTCTTTTGTACCTCTCTTCTCTTATCTCTAACACCGAAACCCTCTCTTCTCTCTACCGAAACCCTCTTTGAATCCGAAACCCAAACCAGATCTATAGATCTGGTTGTAAGATGTTCATTTGGGTTCGGTGATCTGCTTCACGATCTAAGCATCTCTCACGATTTTCGGTTCGAAGTTCACAATAGACCCATCTCTCTCTGAAGATGAACAAGACGAACTTCAGGGAAGAAGATGACAGACCTTGAAAACCTTTCCAAGTATTTCTTTTTCTGCAATTATATTTCTGCATTTTTGGAGAAATTACTTGAAATTTATCTGAAGTTGTAATCAATTCTTAATGGTCGTTGTTGTTGTGATTGTTGTGTGTCTACGGATTGTTGTTGTAATTTTTGAATTTTGTTATGAAAAAATTATTTTCTATTTCATAGAGTTTTGCTAGAAAGGATGCGGGTGGGAGAAATAAAAGAAACAAAACCACTCAGATGCTGATCTGGAACTTTTGACATTATAGCATGCAACTGGATTACTTTTTTGGGCCCAAACTGTCATATTGTGGGTTTCGTAGTCATTTTTGCAAATCATTGGCAATGCTCTAACATTGCTAGGGTGTATGTCTTTCAATAACAGTGTGTTTGCTACAATCATCATTGTTATCCCTACCTGTGTGATTTACTCGATTATGAAGCATACGTATATGAATGTTCAACTTTTTTTTCATCACAAATTTGTTAATTTGATAATCAGACCAATCCAGCTTTGCCTTATCAATACCAATGAATTGTTCGTTTCTTATAGACATTTATAGTGTCATTACATTTGGAAAAGTACACCGTTTGTTACTTTAACGATTCCTAGAAATACATCAATACTTGCGGAGATGATTCATCTATTCATTACATATGAAATTTTTATCAAATGTATTATTTTTTAAATGAATACAGGTGTTAGCTTTATGGTATTGTCTTATTTTCTTTTTGTTAAATATGTTATTATTAGAAAATGACAATAAGGTATATTTTGTTTTGCTTCAAATATTTATCTTATTGCGTTTTGAAATGTGAGTATATTGTATTTGAAATTTTGGTATGTGGAATACAATTTATAAGATCGCAACAGTATTTATGTCACTACAAGTCATACATATAGGATTTATTAGTAAATGGCCAACAATATGTTACCCTATCTTAAGAGACACAAAAGTAGAAATTACACACGAAAAAAAAAGAAATATATATATATATAGCTTCTAAACCAAAATATTTTTTTGTTTTTGTTGATTTGTTTTTACTTTAAACTATTAGTTCATTTTCATTAACAAAATTAGATTAACAAAAATAGATGTTTGAACTATGAAACTGAATGTAGGCTATACAAAAATAGATGTTTTTACTATAAAAGTCAAATTAATAGTAGTTTAAACTATTACACTATAATCTTTTGCCCTTTTGGCTAATTTAGCTCTGTTTCACAGTTGTTTATATGTTTTTTATTTTATTCGCAGTATGAGTTTCAATGTTTTCAATTTTTTCACGTATACCATAATTGTTGTTGCATTATAGTACGCAAATGGAGCAGTCCCAAACGCAGTCGACGCCTTCCAAATCTTTGCACAAGCGCGGTAGTAAACAGACGCAGCAGCAGTCCGCAAACATGCATAAAGCATCTTGGGACTCCGACACGGTGCAGATTTTTTTGGAACTTGTTATCAAAGAGTTGGACGTTGGTTTCAAGGGGAGCTTCCATACAATGACAATGCATGGATATCGAGCTATAAGCAAGGGCTTTCTGGACCGTACAAATAAGGTGCATGACATCAAGCAACTGCAGAACAAGTACGCGTTGCTGAAAAAGGATTGGTAGTCGTGGTCGAAACTGATGGATAGCAGGCATAGGCCAACCAGCATCAGTTACAATGAAGCCACGGGTTTGATACAAGCATCTGACGACTGGTGGGCGCATTACGAAAAGGTAACATTTCAATTGAGTTTTACTTACGTCATTTACATGGATAGTTGAACCGTTACTATTACAACTTTAATGACATGGTGGGGTGTATTTCTATTGTTACGTGTGGATGTATATATATGTCTGCTTCTATTTTTACTGTTTTATGAGTTGCCCTTACGAACTTTAGTTTGTTCTATCTCAGTAGGTGCTCAATTTTTTGGCCAAATTACAGTAACAGAACAGTAAGTTTCCTATTTTCAATGCTTAAGCTTATTTTCAATACTTAAGCTTATTTTCAATGCTTAATTTTTTGGGCAACCTACTGTTGATTGCACTCAAACAGTAGGTTTCCAATTTGCTCTGGAAGTCAATCATAGGCTACAGAACAGTATATGTGTTCTTCTTTTTCCTACAAAAATCCACATCCTGCTTTAACATGTAAAGGCAAATACATGTTATGACACCAGTGGTGGTTGTTTCCTCCAATTTTCTTCCAGCATTGAATGACAAAGATTATTTTATAAAACAAGATTTGTTTAGCTGGAAATATGAGAAAAATACATTTTGCCAATCTTTATTCAATTAAAAAAATAAAGATTATTTTATAAAACAGGATTTGTTTAGCAATGCTTAAGAATTTGTTTAATCTGTCAGCCCCAATTTGCATCCATTGCCAATCTGCTTCCTGTGTTTGCTCCCCATTATTCTCAGTTTCACTATCTCAGATGAAGTTTTTCCTGTGGTTTTTTTTTTTGTTTTCCCCAGGTTGACAAGAATGCAATCAAGTTCAAAACAAAACTGTTGGAGCACATGGACCTCATGCGAAGGGTGTACGAAGGCGCCACGGCAACCGAAAAATATGCATGGACACTCGATGCAGCGTTCGAACCTGTGGCACCCGATGACGGTACTTCGCCGGCGCCTGAAGAAGACTGCGAGGACAGCAACGGGCTGCCCCCTTTCCAGCCAGCCGTGCCGCATGAACACACTGTGCACCACACTGTTGCGCAAGAGGATGGCACGCCGCCAACCGTGCACACTGCGTCGTCGGGAATTAACACTGACGACACACCAACTAATGGCATGAACAAACGCAAATCGCCAGGCCCAACACACCCACAACGGAAAAAAGGGCAGAGTGAGGGAGCTTCTCTCTTGGCAAGTAGTATGGAAAACCTTGCATCCTCTGTGAAATTACAACAACGACAAATCCGCGTCTCACATGATTACACAGATTCGGCACAGCAACTCATTGAGAAGTGTATGACAAGGTTGTATTTGCTGGAAGGGCTGGATCTGCAAGACCCGCTAATTCCTTTTGCTCAATCGGTACTTGACAACCCGACAAATCAAGCCATAATGATGTCGATTTCGACAGACGCCGCTGTCATTGTTTGGTTGCGAACGAAGAAGTCCCGTGAGCCATCGGTGGCCCATCAGCAGCAAACCCCGGAATGGGTGGTGGCTGGTTCTGAGACCGTCCAGCAAATAATTTGTGTTTCTTTATTAATGTGTGTGTTGCTTCTTTATTAATGTTTGGGTGGTGGCTGGTTATGAATATTGATGTAATGTTTCTGTAGTAATGTTTGTGTGTTGCCTTTTGTTTTTTTTCCCCCTTCGAACAAGCAGTCTTTCAATTATCCTTCCTTCCCAAAAACTATGGCATTGTTCGTGGAATTTTTAGGACATTATCAGTTCATATAATATTTGTGTGATGATGTTGATGTTGTAGTATATGCTTGTTGTTGGCTCTTTTTTTTTTTTGTGCATTTTTTAATTTATGTTTGTGTATTTCTTTTTTTTCTCTCATGTTGTTCGTTTTGCTGAGTAACTCTCCAATTAAAGAGTTTGCTTTTATTCCAGTAGTAGTAAACAGGATTTGTGAGTTCATCGTTGAAAAGATCCAAAGCCTTTTAAGCCAGTTTCACTATTTCTTCATAAATATTGAAATTTTCTGTTTTGTTGCCCATTTTACCAGAAAACCAGTCATGTTGTACTCTCCAGTGGGGCAAACAATAATTTGGCATTACCTTCTTCCACTAAACTGTTTTGTCGGCACAACACACAGTTTCGTATACACCAATAATTTGGTGGCTGCACCAAAAAGAAGAGAATCCCTTCTTACGCAGGCCCCAATAATTTGTGTGTTACCCAATCTGCATGGACACCACATGAAGTTGTTGAAATTTTGGTCTCAACGGTCCCACCACAATCTTGGTTTCAAAGAAGAGAATCCCTTCTTACGCAGGCCCCAAATTTTGGTTTCAAAGAAGAGAATCCCTTTTTGTTGATTTGTTAAAATTTTGGTTTCAAAGGTCCCACCACAATCTTTGCGCATGCTCATCTTTCATTTCTTTATATAAGACCACAAACCAGTTGAAATTTTGGCTTCAAAGGTCTCACCACAATCTTTGCTCATCTCATCATTCATTTCTTTATATAAGACCACAAATTAGTGTGGTTGTCTCCTTTCTTACCCTCGCCCCAATCTGCTTCTTTCATTGTCCAAAGTCGTTATAATTTTCTTGATAGGCAGCCTCGTACCGGCCAAGTCAAATTTTGGTAAACCTGCTTGGCTCTGTATATTCTGCGTTACAGGTTTCCAAAATGGCAGACGACGCAGGTCCTAGTTACACTGTGCCCAGTAATGCATCCCGGGAAGCTGTCGATGAAATTGCACGGGAAATGGTGGTCGAAATTGATCACAACTTGCTAGAGGCGTATAACAGTGTAGCTACATATTACTACGACCATTATCACAGAGTGCCTTGAAATACATTAATACTTTCGGGACGTTTATGGATGTATGAGTTGTTTAACGGCCACCAAGGCCGGTTTGAAGATGCTGTCAGTATGTCCAAACCAGTGTTCTTGATGTTATGCGACACTCTTCATAGTTTTGGATTGACACTGCCACAGCGGGAGCATGGCGTTCCGCTAGAAGAGAAGGTAGCCATTTTCATTTGTGCATTGGAGGGAATCAAGATGAAAGATTTGCAAGAACGGTTCCAACACTCGAAGGAGACATTGTCACGGCATTTCCATGAGGTTTTGAAAGTTATGATACCATTCACAGTGGTTCATAGTAGGAGTCTTACGCCTGAGCAAGTGCAACAGGGGAGCCACTCACATTTACAATCGCAACGGCGATACCGGCCATTCAAGGTGACATTGTTTCACAAGATTTTAAATATCACTGTGGCGACATATACCATGAATTTTTATTTATACTTTCTACGTAATGGTGCGTTGTGTAGGACTGCATCAGTGCACTAGACGGCACGCACGTGATGGCTCGTGTCTCACAAGAGTACGCCACTTCGTATTACGGCCGGAAAGGCGTCCCAACACAGAACATACTGGCCGTATGTGACTTCGATTTGTGCTTCACGTTTGTATCAGCCGGTTGGGAAGGGAGCATGCACGACAGTAGGGTGTTGCACTGCGTGACAACCGAACCTAAACATCGCTTCCCGCACCCCGCACCCCGTACCTGGTAAAATTATATTTTATTTAATAAAGTAGTATAATTTTAAAATAATATAAGACAAATTACACATTTGTACTTGCTATCGTAATTGAGAAATTAACAAAAATAGATAATATCATTTTTAAAAAAAGTTGACACAAAATTATTTTTCTCAAAAAAAAAAATTTTTTTTAAATGTTCGTTGCAAGAAAATACTATTTGGTGGATAGCGGCTACAGCAACAAGACAGGATACCTAGCCCCATACAAGGGGTATAGATATCACCAAAATGCCCATCGAAATCGAATACCACAAAATGAATTTGAACTATTCAATAAGGCACATTCGTCATTGCGTAGTTGTATCGAGCAGACATTCGGTGCGTGGAAGTCGAGGTGGGGGGCATTGCGGAATATTCAAAAATTGAGTTTCTCTAATCAAGTGATCTTCGTGTGTGCGTCGATGGCGTTACATAACGTCATACGCCGAAACAGTGAAATTGATGAGGTCACAGTTCCTATCGTAAATAGCACCGAATACGTGGCCCCCGAAATGCCCGACCACGATGAATACACGGGTTGCCGATGTGATTGAGGAAGGGGACTCCGACCCTGCAATGACAGTTGTACGAGCGAACATTACATACCAACTAGCCCAACAACTGAACACGAATAATTTAACCAACATTAATGTTGGTTAAATTTATAATGTGTGTAACTCAGATTCGAATTTATATTATCATTTATTGTTAATTTGTTTTGCTTTTCTGAATTTGTAATACTTCTCAGTAGGAAGTTGATAAAGTTTTGTATCCAATTTTAGACTACATATGTCCAAAAAACATTGTTGAAAATGAAAGCAAAAGAATAAAATATATATATATATATATATATATTGAACAACTTAGAACAGCATTGTGCATGGCCAAAAAATAAAAAAGAAAAAAAATTAAAAAAAAAGTTACAAAAAAAACAATAAAAAAAAAAGAATGAAACCAAATTTGTTAAAACGAAAACAATAACAGCAAAAGGAAAAGAATTTTTTTTAAAAAATCAAAAGGAAAAGAAAAAAAAATGAATAAAAAAGGAAAACAATCAAAAAAAAATTGCACGCAAAACGAAAAGAATACAAAAAAATGATAAAAAAAGGAAAACAATAAACCCAAATTAATAATGTTAAAAGGAAAGCAATAAAAAATAAAATAAAAATGTTAAAAGGAAAAGAAACAAAAAGGAAAAGAATAAAAACGAAATATTGACTAACAAAGGAACAGAAAGAAAACAAAAATTATAACGAAAAGAATGGATAAAAAAATGAAAAGAAAAAAAAAATGTTAAAAGGACAAGTCCTGACTACAGGAAGAAAAAAAAAATTATGTTAAAAGGAAAAGAATGCAAACCAAAAAAAAAAAATGAATAAAAAAGGAAAGGAATAAAACAAATAATAATGGTAAAAGGAAAAGAATTAAAAAAATAAATTCTTTCAAAATGGAAAATAATAAAAACAAAAATGTTACAAGGAAAAGAATAAAAAAAAAAATTGGCTACAAGGAAAAAAAAATAATGATAAAAGGAAAAGGATGAAAACAAAAAATAATGAATAGAAAAAAAACCCCACATGTTTTGACCGTCGCACAGTGTTTAGGAAATGGAAAAAAAAATTAAATTATGTTTACGTTGCACGGTGATTTCACCACTCATTAATAGCCACGCTTCCCAACAACGGTGACACGTATCCCTGCTGGTCTGTCAGTTGAGAAAGGTAAAATAGTCATTTTACCATGTGTACTAATATTATATTACACACATTTTCATAAAAAGTCAAAAATTTATCCCAAACAACTATCTTTTTCCCCTCACTTTTTTAGTCCAAAAAGACAAAAAGTGCACTTATTTAGTCTTCCCAAACTTGGCCTTAGTCTTCCCAAACTTGGCCTAAATAAGTGCACTTTTTGTCTTTTTGAACTAAAAAATTGAGGTTGAAAATATGGATGTTTGGGTTAACTTTTTGACTTTTTATTGAAAAATGTGTAATAAAAAATTGTAAAAATTGATTTGTAGGGAAAAATTTGAATTGAGAGTTGTGCAGCCGTAATTGTTGACTTTTGATGAATAGTGTTAACTTTTTAGCTTTTTGAGTAACTTTTTGGCTTTTTGGCTTATTTGGGACTTCCCAAACTTAACCTTACTATGTGGCAATGAATTGTTCCTATCATTCAAATTCAATGGATTCAAGTTCCAAAGTTTTACTATTACATGAGTGTTAGATTGGAAAAAATTAATAAAAAATTTATTGAAATTATATTTTTCTAACCAAATAATCAAATATAATTATTATAATTTTATTAAAACAATTTTTTTTTTAATCGAATATCGAAGTAAGCAAAGTTTTTTATTATTATTATTAAAAAACAAAGTTGATAATAGGGAGCAAAAAATCACAACAGTGACAACAACTGATCACCTCCCTAAAACCAATCCAACCACTTGCAACAACGCACACAAAAAAAAAAAAAATTCACTTGTGACTTGAAATTTAATGCAAGATTTTTTAGATATCGTGAAGAAGAGTTGAAAAGGACTCAGTGTTGATTGTGATTTTTTTTCTTTTTAATTTTATGTTTATGGTTCCTTTTTCAAGCACTTATTTTTTTATATTGAAAGATTAAGCTTAGACAAAAGATATATTTGGAATTCTATCATATTTAAAATTTATATGGATGATTAATTAATGATTTTAAAAGATAAAATAAAGTTCAACATAAACTTTGAAAAGATTAAGCTGAAATATATGGGAATTTATAACAATCAAGTTCAAATAGAAGATAAATCCAAGAGAGAGGGAATTTTGAAGAAAATAAAAATTTAAGTTCAAATTTAAAGATAAAATTAGATAAACCTGAGGAAATAAAATTACTTAAATAAAATTTCAACTTTGAAATATATATCTTATCCATAGCTATGAAATTGGAAATTAATTTCATAATTAAAAAATGAAACAAAAAAAAAAAACATGGAAGACAATCAAAAGGGATTGCTAAGTAGAAAAGAGAAATATTCAAATTATGAAAATTTATGAATAATCATTTTAATTTTTTTTAGAACACATTACATTTGCTTATATATATATAGTATAGTATGGATTGAAAAATAATTAAAAATCATATCTTATTTAAATTTCATTATATCAAATTTTTTAATTTTTAATATATGTGATAGAGGGAGAGGAAAAATTGAAGTAAATCAAAATAAAGATTTAAATACAAATGTTTTCTATAGATATAGATTAACAAATCACATCCTTATCTAAATTTCATTATTTTAATTTTTATTTAACTTTTTTATTTTATTAAAAAATTAAAAATAAGGGAAATGAGGTAGGGAGATTTCAAGAACTACCACATAGAGTATAAAAACAAAAAAACAAAAAGTGATGACGATCTGTCAACTGGTCGGACATCCGGAGAAACGACTGGTAAGACGTCCGGGAGAACGACCCGTTAACCCAAATTTTTCCGCCTTGGAAAGAGTTTTCAAAAGTGAGAGTGGAATTAATTTTTGAAAACGCTAAACAAACACCACACTTAAAAGTGAATGTGGAATTATAATTTGAAAGCTCCACCAAACAAAACCTTAAATTTTCCAATTTAATGAAAGATTTTTTGAAAGTGAATAACATCAAAGACTCCGAAGGTGGAAATGAAGGTCTTTTCCACAAAGACCATGGCTTTCTTGATAATGACACTTGTTAGAGCACCAACATTCTTTCTCAATCCAAAAAAATAAATTTTGAACCACCAAAAAAATTGAATACTTATACGGGAACAAATATTTTTCGCTTCCGTACTCCTTATGTCCAAGTTTCGCATTATTCTGAACGATGTCGTAGAACTTGAAACACAACGGCAATGAGCTACCTGGCAGGTGTGTTGTCGAAAAACCTCTCCAATGGTCAAGTTAGCACCCTTAGAGAGAAGAAGAGAAAAGAGCAGATAGTCTGTGTAAGGAAAATCGCAGACTTGTTGCATGGAGGCACTGCAGGATTTATATAGTTTGTGCGCGCACTACCTTACTTGTTCTTTCTTGGACACGTGGATGTACTATCCTCTCCTCGCCTTACACATGTATGTGCGACAATACTGCCAAATAGTATCGACAAAACAGCCAAACAGTGTTGACACGTACGGACGGTGGGTTCCCTCCTTTGCTTTTTGTTGGTGAAAATACCAAAAGAATTATATTTTATTGATAAATAATGTAAAGAAAATGAGATACAAATAGATCTGCCTGAGGCACGAATATCTCGTTTTCTTTAAGTAGATCAAGCCCACTACAGTAGGAAGAACCCAAATACCGATACAACAATCACTAAACTATGACTTGTCCCCCTCTAGAATACAACAGCCCCAACCACTTGTCGTATGGTTCAGGGCAGCTCTGCACAAGATGGTAAACCCAAAGTTCTACCAAGAAAAACACCCTTCTTTAGTTAGTAATCTCTCAAGTGTAAAAATAATTGGTCTAGAAATAAATAGATGAGAGGAACAATTTATAGGCCACTAGGACCTTACAAATTATACTAAAAAATAATGACTATTAAACTAAAGAAAATGGAGGGTCCAAAAACCTCCAAATATTAACTCACCACCAAGCCCATGACCTTCCAATTAACGTCCATTCATGGACAAGACTAAGGATGGGTGCGGATCGGTTGGGCCACAGAACCTCCAATCCACCATCTATCTGCCAAATTGGTGGATTGGAGAAAATCAATCCGTCATCCGTTCGCCAATCCAGCGGATACGGATTAAGCGGATTGGCGGATTGGTGAATGGATACGACTCGATTTGGTGGTTTCAAATTTTACAAATTTTCAATTCAAAATCAAAAGATGTCAACATAATCGTAAAGTCAGTTGAGCAATGCAAAATTTTCAAATTCACAACCTAGGCAAATTTAACAGTATTGAATCAATGCAAAATAGTGTCGACTAGCTAGATATGTTTTTTGCTCCTGCCTCTTCAGTATCATACTTAGTCTATAAAGCTTTCCAAATTTTCTTTGCAGACGTATAAGTGGTGTCACAGTAATCATAAAATTAATCAGCAAGGCAATTTAAAAGATAAAAATGAAATTTATACTCATATGTATTGTATGAAGCCACATTTGCTTCATGTGCCTCGTAGTCTTCATCATTCATCTCCTCAATTGAGATTTTGTTTGGGTTCTTCTCAGTAGCATAAGCAACTTTCAAAAGGTTGAGGTAAAAAAGAATTTTTCCTTTCCACCTCTTAAAATGAACTCCCTTGAACTTGAAAGGCTTGTTAAGATCTCCAATTCCGTCTTTGGCTTTTTCTGGTACTTGTTCCATATTGATCTCCTTAAAATTGTTGGTGAAAATACCAAAAGAATTATATTTTATTGATAAATAATGCAAAGAAAATGAGATACAAATAGATTAGGCTGAGGCACTGATATCTCGTTTTCTTTAAGGAAATCAAGCCTACTGCAGTAAAAAGAACCCAAATACCGATGTGGCAGTCACTAAACTCTAACTTGTTCCCTCCAGGATACAACAGTCTGATCATTTGTTGTATGGTTCAGGCCAACTCTGCACAAGATGGTGATCCAAAGCTCCACAAAGAAAAACACCATTCTTTGGCTAGTAATCTCTCAAGTGTAAAAATAATTGGTCTAGAAATGAGTAGATGAGAGAAACAATTTATAAGCCACTAGGACCTTACAAATTACACCAAAAAATAATGACCATTAAATTAGAGAAAGAGAGAGCCCCAAAACCTCCAAATATTAACTCACCACTAAGCACATAACCTTCCAATCAACTTTGACTCATGAACAAGACAAAAGGTCACCAAAATAAATAAATAAATAAATAAAAATATTAAAATGGTCCAACACTCTTCAATTGGGCCACGTGGCAATTTCCGCCGAGTTATTCACAATCCGGTGTGTGGCTATCCACTCCAAGAGCAGGTTCTACCAACCGGCCTAGCTTCGAGATACCCAACCGGTCGTCTTCAGCTCGGTCAAGCCAATTGAACTCACCCAAGCCAACCTTGCCCAGCCTTGAACCATGGTTAACTTTGTAAAAATTGACTTACGAAAATTTTGAAGATAAGTCATTTTTGAAAAAATAACACAAAAATATTTTTGTTAAAAAATGTTTTCTTTACTTTTTGCTCTGCCAAAAAATAAAAATAAGTAAAATATACGTCAAAACAGAAGGCGTCTTAATTTTTTCAATTTACTGAAATATTTTTTGGAAATGAATAACATCAAAGACTCCGAAGGTGGAAATGAAGGTCTTTTCCACAAAGACCATCGCTTTCTTAATAATGACGCTTGTTGGAGCACCAACATTCTTTCTGAGCCCAAAAAAAAGTCTTGAACCACCCAAAAAAAATGAATATGGTAATTAATTTATTCTCATTAAAAATCATTCATCTCATGCTTATTCATGTTAAATGATGCAACCCACTTTTTTGACTAGTCGTTAAGCCAACCTTGGCTGCTTACAAAGTATTGGTAAAACAAAAAAGTCATACATTGAATTGAAACATGTAAAACAACATTACTTTGATCAAATTAGTTTACAGAAATAGTCAAATTTGTAAGAAATCTTATCTTCAGAGTGGGGAAATATGTATATGATTTAACTGATATGGAATATAATCTTGTGTTAGTGATGTGCAATGGTGATTTTAATGTAACATTAGTGATAGTGGTATTCTCTCTCTCATATCTCTCTCGTTCTCTTACCTTAATTCCTTTCTTTATCACACAATGAGTCTTTTTTATTCTGTGTTATGGAGAGTAAGTTTGAAATTGAATGACGAGATAATCTAGAAAAAAAAATCTGATCTTTTGGTGTTCTAAGACCAACAATTCATTGCTATAGTGTGTTATTCGTCTCTTTTAATGGATTCAATTTCTAGTGATTAATTTTGGTATCAATTAATTATGATCAGTTAAATTAGAAGAGAGACGAATGGACAAGAGAGACAACTCTGTGTGGTTCCTTCCCATTAACTCTGTGTTGATCATTCTTCTTTAATGGCGAATGATAATTTTATTTTTAATGTATTTTTAGTAAAACCAAATATGATTATAACATTGTGATGAAATGATAATTTTATTTCGCTTAATTAACCAAACACTAATTTAAGGTAGTTGAAACCTATTGGATGCCTGAGAAGCAAGCCAAAGTCCATTAACATATCTGATTTGATCTTGGTGCAAGTTCCACTAAGTCGTTCCCACTTCCCTGACTCAAGTTTGAATTTTCCATACAACTGATCCAATCAATCAAAATTTCCAGAAGAGAGGGAAAAAAAAATCTAGTAACACTGTGTGGTTTTGGACACTATAAATTGCACACAGATTGAGTTTTTGTTATTGAGTTGCATAATGATGGATAGATTCATGAGAGTTATAGCATTTCTAGTTCTTGTGATTCTCACCATAGCAACCATTAATCGTAGCTCTTGCAATGGTGATGTGGTTTGCATTAATGGTGAGAAACAAGCTCTTCAAAGCTTCAAGCAAGAGCTCAAAGACCCTTCAAACAGGCTCTCCTCTTGGGATGTTGAAGATGATTGTTGCAAATGGGCAGGGGTGGTTTGTGACAAGTTAAATGGCCATGTAATTGAGCTCCACCTTCAAAATCCCAACTCTACAACTCCGGTGGTTGGCAAAGTTCATCAGAGCTCGGCCTTGGGTGGCAAAATAGATCCTTCTTTGATCAATTTGACGCGCCTGAATTACCTCGATTTAAGTCAAAATGATTTTGGAGGAATTCATATCCCACGGTTCATCGGAAGCTTGGCAAACCTACACTATCTTTCTTTATCCGGGGCAGGATTTGGAGGAACGATCCCCCACCAGCTCGGAAACCTGTCAAGTTTACGCTTTCTAAGTCTAAGTGGTGGTGGTTCATACCCTGGTGTCAAATTAAGTGTTGTTAACCTTCAATGGCTTTCTGGTCTTTCCCGTTTGGAGCGCCTCGACTTCAGTCAAGTGAACCTCAAGAAAGCATCCCATGATTGGCTACAGGTGATTAACATGCTTCCTTCCTTGGTAGAGTTAAATATGTCATCTTGTGAACTTCATCGCGTTCCTCCTCAACTTCGTCATGTGAATTTCTCATCACTTACTCTGCTAGATCTTTCTAAGAATGACTTCAACTCCTTAATACCTGGGTGGATATCGAGTCTTAGTAGTCTCGTTTCGCTTCATCTTAGTTCTTGTGGTTTTGGAGGTCTTTTTCCTGATGGTTTTTGCAACTTGACCTCTCTCGAAGTCCTCGATTTGTTTCAAAATGACCTTAATTCTTCACTACCCAGTTGGTTATTTAGTTTGAATGGTTTAGTTTCTCTCAACTTAAACTCCAATCGCTTCCAAGGTCCAATTCCACATGGCCCTTGGAACTCGACCTCTTTGAGATTCTTTGATGTCTCTCAAAATGAACTTAATTCCTCACTACCCAATGCATTATTCAGCTTAAATGACCTACTTTCTCTCAACCTACATCAAAATGGATTTGAAGGTCCACTTCCTGGTTCCCTCTGGAACATGACCAGTCTTCGAGATCTTGATTTGTCCGAGAATAATTTCAATTCCACCATACCAGTCAGTCTGTACAGTTGCAGCCATTTAGAATCACTCAACCTTGGCCACAACCAATTCCAGGGTGCAATCTCAAGCAACGTTGGAAACCTGACCTCTGTCACCATCCTCGATCTCTCATACAATAAACTTGAAGGCAGAATACCCGTGTTGATGGGAAATCTTTGTAACTTGAGGGTTATCAATCTCTCAAGTAACAAACTCACAGTACAAGTGTCAGACGTGTTGAACAGCTTGTCCGGATGCATTTTAGAATCTCTAGAATCATTAGGACTATGGGAAAACAAACTTTTCGGTCATTTCACTGAGCGACTTGGACGATTTAAAAATCTACGTGAACTTTATTTTCAAAACAATTTAATTTCGGGTCCGATTCCAATGAGTGTAGGAAGACTGTCATCCTTGGTAGCGTTAGATTTAAGCTACAATAAGTTGAATGGAACTCTTCCAAAAAGTCTTGGACACCTTTCAAAGTTGGGAATACTTTATATCTCTTATAATATGTTGGAAGGGGTTGTGTCTGAAGACCACTTTGCCAATCTGACATCTCTGGTGGAATTATCAGCATCCGGAAACCAATTGAGTTTCAATGCGAGTCCAAACTGGATTCCCCCTTTCCAACTCGAATTGGTATATTTGCGATCTTGGCAGTTGGGACCGCAGTTTCCCATTTGGCTGCAGTCACAGAAGCGTATTTCGAAATTGGACCTGTCCTGCACTGGCATATCTGTTGCCGTTCCTACTTGGTTTTGGAATGTGTCTTCCTCCACTACTTATGTAAACCTCTCTCACAACCAAATCCATGGTGAGGTTCTAAAAATCCCACACGTTCATTTCGCGGATGATTTTTACGTTACATCATTGTTTTACTTGGGTTCCAACAACTTTAGTGGTCCATTGCCCCGTCTCTCACAAGATGTGACCGAGTTAGACCTTTCCAACAATGCATTTTCGGGAGGTTTGTCCGATTTCCTATGTGATTCAGAGGATGGACCATACCAATTGCAACTTCTTCATCTCGGAGGAAATCTTTTGTCGGGACAAATTCCTGATTGTTGGACGAACTGGCCTTTATTGTTCGCCTTGAATCTGGAAAAGAATTATCTGAGTGGGAAGATTCCGAGCTCCATGGGGCTTATACCATACTTGCATTCATTGCACTTGCGCAACAATAGTCTCTCTGGTTCGTTGCCTTCGTCTATGCAAAATTGGATCGCCTTATTGGCACTTGACCTCGCTGAGAATGAGTTTGTTGGAAACATACCGACATGGATTGGAAAAGGCATTCCAAATTTGCAGATTCTTAGCCTTCGGTCGAATAATTTTCATGGAAAAGTTTCTCCTGAATTGTGTCGCCTTGCCTCTCTTCAAATCCTAGACCTCGCAGACAACAATTTATCTGGAAGCATACCGAGTTGTATCAACAATTTCACAGGCATGCTCTTTGAAAAAACTTCAGCTGAAAGGAATTCCTATTCTTTTCACTTTGGGGCATTCTTAGAGAATGCATATGTGGTGACAAAAGGCAGCGAGTTTGATTATGATACCATTGTTAAACTGGTCACTAGCATGGACCTTTCGAGTAACAATTTTTCAGGAGAGATTCCAAAAGAACTAACAAGTTTGTTGGGGTTGCGATCATTAAATTTGTCGAACAATCATTTGAGTGGAATGATCCCACCAAAGATTGGAGAAATGGGATTGTTGGAGTCGTTGGATTTCTCCAGAAATCAACTTTCAGGAGAAATCCCTCTGAGCATGTCAGATTTGACGTTTTTGAGTTACTTGAATTTGTCTTACAATAACTTGTCAGGGAGGATTCCATCAAGCACGCAGCTCCAGAGCTTTGATGCTTCTAGCTATATCGGCAACAAACTTTGTGGACCTCCGCTCACAAAGAATTGCAGTGTCGATGGTGTAGCACCTAACCCCGGAAACAATGGTGATGATGGAGGAGCTAAATCTGAAGTGTATTTGTTTTATTTGTGCGTGGCTTGCGGATTTGCCATGGGTTTTTGGGTTGTCATTGGTCCTTTGTTGTTCAGAAGATCATGGAGAATTGCCTATTTTCGATTTCTAGATGACATGTGGGACAGGTTTTATGTTTTGTTACGAGTCAATTTTAATAAATTTCGAAAGTAATGTAAAGATGTTGTACTTGTGCTTTTTTTTTTTTAAGTTGATGGGATTCGAATCCCAGCGTATGTTGGGGCCAAAAACACGAGTTGTGATTTAGCCCACTTTAGTTCTAAATAAATAGTTATAAAAGGCGTCTTTTAAGGAGTGTAGCTCATCATTGTTAAAGCTATTGTGGTTCTTTTCAATTATGAAACATATGGAAATGCTTAAGAAAAATAAAATAGAGTATATTAACCTTCATTGCAGAGAATTCTCGGAGTATCATTTCTTGTCAAATATTAGCTAGAAAATTCAACCAAAACTGTAAAACAGAAACAGTAGGATATATTAAAACAGAAACAAAATTATATATATACATATATAAATTATTTTCTAATTTATTTTTTAAAATAATAAATAAAATTAATTAAAAATTTAATACTAATGAACAAAAGAAAAAGCAATATACTTAAGATTTCTAATAAAATGTTTCTTGAAGATATTTAAAAATTACACCTTTTAAAACGGGATCATTAAATAAAGGATTGTTTGGGAAGTGCCATATTAGCTCACTTTTTTTTTATCTTCTTATATTTTTTGGATCACATCACATCTCTATTTTTCTATATATTCTTTCATAAAAAGTAAAAATGTATACTTAATTATCTTTTTTGTGTCACATCGCATCTTTACTTTTTTGAACATATTTTCGTAAAAAATAAAAAAAAAATATACTTATTTGGCACTTCCCAAACTACCACTAAGTTGATATTAAAAAAATTTACTTTTTATAATGGCATAAACAATTTAAATATGATTATTTAGAAATTCTTTTTAATTTCAAAATTACAATAAAATACCATATTAAATTTTGTAGAAATTCTTTACAATAAATTTTTAAATTATTATTTACAATAAATTCTTATTTATTAAATTCTTATGATTTTAAAAAATAACATAGCACAGTTACCACTAAGTTGATATTAAATTTTTATTTACAATAAATTTTTAAATTACAATAATTTAAATATGATTGTTTTAGAAATTATTTTTAATTTAAAAATTACAATAAAATACCATATTAATTTAAAAATTACAATAAAATATTAAATAGAACCAAAAAAAAATTCTTGCAAAATAAAAGTATTTCAATAAATAAAGGTAAGAAGAAAATTTAATATAGTATTTTCATTTGATCTGAAAATAATTTCAGATGAGCGATAAATTATCACCTATACCCACTTTTTTTTTTTAAATAAAAAAAATTTAACAAACTATCACTTTTAATAAAAACAATTAATGTTTCTTCGTAATTTATTTTAGCAAAAGTAACTTTTTAACAATTTGAGTCAAGTATATCTTTATTCTTTATTTTAATTTCTTTAATTGACAATTGAGTTTTAAAAAAAAAAAATCTAACAAAATCCACCATGTTTGGTAAGTACTAAAAAAGTTATATTTTGTTCTTTTGTCAAATAAAAAAATTTATATTAAAAAATATTATTGTTCAAGTCCTTATAGTTTAGAAGGATATAATTTTTTTATAAAATTAAAAAAAAAAGAAAAAAATTAATAGCGATTAATAATTTGAACATGTAATATCCCGAAATAATTACAATAATTCAACCCAAGGTAACTAATACAATGTAATCATATATGAAATATAAGCTTTCATTAATTAGAGTTCATACACAAAATGTGACACATGCGATATATATTTATAAATCGTTCATCATCAATCTACAGCTCATACACAAAATGTGACACATACGATATATATTTATAAATCGTTCATCATAAATCTACAGCATGCGTTACAAATAGTAAAAGGAAGGAAAGCTAAACAAATATTCATATGCCCTCAAGGCTTACATTTTTCTAAATCACTGCTTGGTTACAATAAAAATGAGTCTAACTCAATGCAATCAAACCCTTGGCTATACAAAGTGAATACAAGCAAAAAGAAGCTCTTGCTCTAAATCCCTCCAAGCTACTGTCTTGGCGGAAGCATATCACCAACACCTAAAAATAGTTTTTCCCAAATATGGTGAGCTAAAGCCTAATACAAACAATCTAACACAATATATGAATCTTGACAAATATACAAGTATGAGATGCATATCCAATGCCCGTGGCAAAATCATTTATAACTCTTTTACAAAACCATGCTATGCCAAGCTTTACATCTCAATTCATTTTGTCTAAATTCATTTTATCTCAATTCAAAGATCATTCACCATTTCATTCAAACCACCAAACTGAGGATACAATTCAGTGGGTCTCTACCCAACACAACATTATACACACAATTCCATTTGCCATTTTACGGATATTTCATTCACGGGAATCGACACCATGTATACGCTCAATTTTCGGGACTTTCACCCTGAGCACACAGGCCAACTTAATTCAATGGAGTCCATCCCCTTTCTTCTTCCAAATATGGAGTACATCTCCTTTCTTCTCCCACACATCATACATTTACAATGTATTAAAAACATAGTCATATTCTATGATAACGGATAAGAGATTAGTTTCAATGCACATAATCCTTATGTAATTTTTTCAACAATCATAGTTATCCTTCACCGATAGCCCAAAACAGATATTTCTACATAGATATACAATCTCCAAGACAGATAAATTATCCAAATTTCCATAGATGAGAGATAATACATATACAACTCCACCATTTACCTAAACATCCATCCAATTTCATATTCCCAATACCAACTTCATTTATTTATACAAAATAACTATTTGAGATACTTTAGGACAAAACTCTATTTTCTTCCAAAATCCATCCCAGGCAGGGACGGAACCAGGAGTTATACACTGGGGGGCCAAGTCGAGACTAGGCATATATGTATGGGTCAGATTAGGCCTCGTTTGGGAACAAGCTTTTTTAGTAATTTTTTAGCTTTTTGGCTAAAATATGATGTAAAAAAAATAATATGTTTGGGATGACTTTTTGACTTTTTACGAAAAGATGTGTAAAAAATAGAGAGAAAATGAAATCTTTGACTTTTTAGCATAAGTTGTTGGCTTTTTGACTTTTTTAGTGACTTTTTGACTAAAAAAAAACAGTTGCCAAATGAATCTCAAGTCTCGACCCAAAACGATTCATACAGAATGATAAAAAAATTTCATATAGAATGATATGATTTATAAACCTTTTACTTTAAGGTTAAACACTTGTGAAGATAACTTTTATTTTATAAATTTTGTTTTAATGTTTTTTTGTCTATACATATGTATATTAAACTACTAATTAAAATGATTGACCAACAAAATTAGTTCCATGTATGTTCATTAATCACTCAATCGTAAAACAAATATAAATAGCAAACTTTTACTGCTATTTCGAACCATTTGGGATTGACTAAAAAAATGAATAAACTATTACTTTTACTTCGTATCATACTAGCATATCACTCGTGCTATGCACGGATTGTATTTACAATCTATCTATACTATATATTAAGTAAAAGGAGATTTTTAACCCCCAAGGCCTATGGGAGTTTCAATATCTTAATCTGAATTTTTTAAATTTTTTATTAAAAAAAAACTCAATATTTATTGATTTGGTCAAAATCCTCTGATCAGCATTTATTATTTTTTTTCAATTCACATGTCTAAGATTTTTTTTTTAAATTAAAAAATCAGGAAATTTGGATTGGGAGATTGGAGCTCCTTTTCAAAGAATTAAATGTCTTTTTTTTTATTATATTATATTAAAGTTTAATATTTGTAGACGTCCCCGAACGCCCCGAGAGGACGAGTCCCATTCTGTTCGTTTTGCGGGTCTACTACAGTTCAAGACTCTCAATTTGCCACGGTTCTAAATCTGAACCAAAGAGTCCAAATCCGGCAAATCGTTTTGAGAAAAATAGATTTTGAAAAAGAAGTGCCAAACATGGACTGCTTTGCCAGATACAGAGTCGCCACCTAAATATTTTGTTTTGGGAAATTTAGAAAACCCTGACTCAGTGCCAAAGGCCACGTGTCCATCATCACCAAAGTTGCCTCGACTCGGGAGCTTGGGTACGATCTGGGAAGGTTAGCTATGAGCACCCCCTCTCGCCCGATCCGAAGATCGGCCTCTACTAACCGTGATATCCGTTTTTGAAAACGTTATGTGTTCTTATTCCATTTATCAGCCTAGAATTACTATGTTATGCGCACAGCAAACAAGTATAGACCAAATCGCCTAAATTGGAAGAAAACATTGCATGTTCGTTTTGAAGATGGTTTGTTACTCGCAAGTAAGCTAAAATGCAGGTTTTGCCACCCTCGAGTGGGCTTTTGGAAAAGATGGTTTTGCCACTATCTAGTGGGCTTAAAACTCACAGTTTTAATGCATTATTCCAATTTAGGTAATTCAACCTCCATCCACAGGCATTCGAGCAGTTATAGCACATAAGCAGCTAGCCTCATGGTAATCATGCTGTTATGGCAACACTCACACGCATGCGGTATGCTAAAGCATAAATGCTTACCAAGTACTCCAAGCCAAAACAAGAACATGTTAGCAATTATGCATGATCCAAGTCCATGTTTAAATGCCTAATGCAACGCATATGGAATGTCACTAGAGTAGGCTCGGCTAGTCTATAAATGACATGTGAAAATGCACAAGTAGCATGTATTCAAGTTAGATTTGAAATACTTATGCAGTTAGTATGATGCGCCGAGCCTGGTGTATGCAATACTGGTGAATGATGCACGCATGCATAGCATAAGGTATGCTAAAGTAAACATGTCCTAATACTAACCATCAAAAGCAGGTAAGTAAAAGAGAGAAAGAAGTGGGGGTTGGAAGACATGCACACACGCACCCACACTTATTACAGATTTGTCCTCGCTCGGAGAGACCGAAAGAATAATACAAGTTAATTAACCTACAAGCTAATTAAATATTACAGACCAATTAATTAATTAACAAATTAACTAATCTAATGAAAGCAGTAAACGGCCTCGGGAAGAGGGCCCAATGCAATGCCCGCTCGGCTCCGCTCGGAAAG